CCAAAGCATATACGTGGGACATTGTTAGATTGACCCCCACCTCCCTCTTCAGTATTGTCGATCTGTGGAGCTTTAAGGGCTTGTAAATCCGCACCAACTACCAATGCTTGTTTCAAGTAATTGTTCCCATTGGGAATCAGTATGGTACCCAACATGTCGTTAGTGATGTGCGTCTGAGCCCCGCCGTACATTTTCGCAATCATGAGTGCCGTCCTCACTATCGGAGAGGTGGTATCTGTGTCATCTACTCCTTTGTAATTTTGTAGGGACTTCATTCCCTCTTGCTTCGCGATCGCTATAGCTATGTCGCTGAATATACTAAGATGCTTACGGTTGAACTCCGTGCACTCTTCCTCCGTGTATAAGAGTTTACAGTAAGGGGCCGACTTGCCTAACTTGACCCATTTGTCGAAAGCTGCGATGAGCTTGTCCGCATGCTTTGCCACCTCATTCCAAGCTAACAAAATTGGGTTCTCACAGAGAATATATCTAAATATCAACATAAACATTGACATTTCTGTTCCTGCTAAGTAGACCAGACTTGTCTTATAAGCGGTGGCTAGCAAGCGATTAGTGGAGGAACTCGCAGTATTCTCGATATCTTTGAACAAAACACGGCGAATCTCTCTTTTTGAAGAGAGCCAAGCATACGATGATGCACAGTATGAAAACCCTGGCTGTAGCATATCATATCCCCCTTCCTCTGATTCCACCCCTAATGCACTGGAGAAGGCTTGCATTCTCCGAGCCATCCAATTGGGATAGCTCATGGAAGTCAGTGCCCTACCCAAAAAACAGGCGTGAAGACCGACCAAAGCATATACGTGGGACATTGTTAGATTGACCCCCACCTCCCTCTTCAGTATTGTCGATGTTTGGAGCTTTAAGGGCTTGTAAATCCGCACCAACTACCAATGCTTGTTTCAAGTCATTGTTCCCATTGGGAATCAGTATGGTACCCAACATGTCGTTAGTGATGTGCGTCTGAGCCCCGCCGTACATTTTCGCGATCATGAGTGCCGTCCTCACTATCGGAGAGGTGGTATCTGTGTCATATACTCCTTTGTAATTTTGTAGGAACTTCATCCCCTCTTGCTTCGCGATCGCTATAGCTATGTCGCTGAATATACTAAGATGCTTACGGTTGAACTCCGTGCACTCTTCCTCCGTGTATAAGAGTTTACAGTAAGGGGCCGACTTGCCTAACTTGACCCATTTGTCGAAAGCTGCGATGAGCTTGTCCGCATGCTTTGCCACCTCATTCCAAGCTAATAAAATTGGATTCTCACAGAGAATATATCTAAATATCAACATAAACATTGACATTTCTGTTCCTGCTAAGTAGACCAGACTTGTCTTATAAGCGGTGGCTAGCAAGCGATTAGTGGAGGAACTCGCAGTATTCTCGATATCTTTGAACAAAACACGGCAAATCTTTCTTTTTGAAGAGAGCCAAGCATACGATGATGCACAGTATGAAAACCCTGGCTGTAGCATATCATATCCCCCTTCCTCTGATTCCACCCCTAATGCACTGGAGAAGGCTTGCATTCTCCGAGCCATCCAATTGGGATAGCTCATGGAAGTCAGTGCCCTACCCAAAAAACAGGAGTGAAGACCGACCAAAGCATATACGTGGGACATTGTTAGATTGACCCCCACCTTCCTCTTCAGTATTGTCGATCTGTGGAGCTTTAAGGGCTTCTAAATAGAGGTTGAGGGGAATGCGTTTAAGCACCTCACCTGGTTGCTGTTCTGTCACCAGGCTTGTGTGGGACTCAAGCACTCTCGTGCTCATACCCACTAAACCCCTTTTCCTCTCTTCGTGGTAGTTCCTGCCGGGGACCACCTTACGGCATTACTTTCAGCAGGCCACGGTACCTCACTGCTCCCTTTGCCTGTCATCTGCGTCCTTCTTTACCAGTATCTTTGCTGCCATTTCTGCAACCGCGTTCCACTTGCTTTCATCCACCAACATGGTCTCCACAGTGTTCTCCGCCGTGACTGGCCATCCAACTGCAGTGTGCGCCTCCGTTCTTGCTACTTCCCACTTCTGACAGCGAAACACGGTGTGTTCTGCCGAGTCTACCTCCTCTCCACAGTCCATGCATGCTGGAGTTGGCCTTTTTCCAATCTTGTGAAGGTACGACCCGAATGCTCCGTGTCCCGTCAGCATTTGCGTGGTGAAATAGTCCACCTCCCCATGCTTCCTGCCTATCCACAGTTCGATGTTGGGAATCATCGCCCTTGTCCAGCCCCCAACAATTTCCGTGTCCCATCTTTCCTGCCACTTTCTTAGCGTCTGGGCTCTCGCCTGCTCCGCTCTTTCGCCCCCTTCCGCAATGCATGCCCTTTCCTTCGCGAGCAGATCCAGCGGCGGGACACCCGCCACCACCATTGCAGCGGCTCCAGACACTGTGCGGTACGCCCCACAGATGCGTAAAGCCATCCTGCGCTGCACCTTATTAAGCATGTCCCTATATGTCTTGTAGCGGAGTGCTCCAATCCAGGCCTGCGCTGCGTAGAGTGCCTGCGACATTCCCACCCCGCAGATCAGTCGCCTCACGCTAGCCCTCGGTCCTCCCACGTTCGGCATCATCCTCGCCATGTTGTTTATAGTTTTTTCCACCCTAGCCACAGTCTTCTTTATATGAACTCCCATGTTCCACCCTCGCCCGATCCATACTCCCAGGTACTTCAGCATCGGTACCGACGTGACCCGGCACCCTCCAATGCTCATCTCCAGCACCGGCATGCTCCTCTGTCCGGCCAGTACCACGATCTCCGTTTTATGTGCTGCCAAGCTGAGTCCCGCTCTGTTGAGCCACTCAGTTATAATCTTCGCCGCACAGTTCAACCTCTCCTCCAGCTGCCCTCTGGTCCTGGCCGTTCCCACCATTGCTAGATCGTCAGCGTATCCTAGCAGGGTGACTCCCTCTGGTAACGACAGCTCCAGCACAGGGTTGTACATAACCGTTCACAGCAGCGGTCCTAGTACAGAGCCCTGTGGCACACCGCACTCCATCTCTAGCTGCTCCTGCCCCACCTCGACTTCTCTACCCCGCAGGTATGATGCCACTGCTCTGACTAAATACGCAGGTATCCCTCGCTTAGCCAGCTGCCCCATTATCTCTCCCCATTGGGCCGTGTTAAAGGCGTTTTTAACGTCCAGGGTGACGAGTGCGCAGCGTTGCCTGTTCGTGTAGGAGACTCTCCTCACACCCTCCACAATCTCTCCCAGTGCCTTCAGGGCAGTTCCCGTGGATCTTCCCGGTCTGAAGCCATACTGCCTATCCGAGAGGTCGCCCCCAGCTACAATCTCCTCCCGAAGCCTGGCCACCAGTACCTGCTCGTACAGCTTTCCCGCTGCATCCAACAGGCATAGAGGTCTGTAGGCTTCCTCCCCCGAGGCTGTCTGCTTCGGTATTAGTACCAGCTTCGCCCTCTTCCAAGCCGTTGGGTAGCTTCCGGAGCGCAGCAGTGTCGTCATTACCTCAGCAGCCCACCCAGGTGCTGCCTCCGCAGCCCACTTTACCACTTCGGAGGGGATTCCATCCGGTCCAGGGGCCTTTCCTGCCGCCAGCCTACTGACTGCAGCTGCTATCTCCCCCTCCGTCACGGCTGGTGCTTCCTCAATAACCGCTGGGTAGACGCTCCAGTCCATCGGTGCCCCCGGTGGGAAGAAGGCCCTAGCCCACTTCATTCTCTCCTCCTGCTGCATACCCTGAGTGCTGACTCCCAGTCTCCTCATCACGATCTGGTAGGCCTTTCCCCAGATATTTGTGTTTACTTCATCCAGCAGGCCCCGCCAGCACTCCGCTTTCGCCCGGTATATCTCCGTCCTCAGGAGCTTCCTGCACTCTTTTAATACCGCTGTTAACGCATTCATCTCGTCCGCAGTCGCATGTCTTCTGCGGGCCCTTGTCAGGGTCCTGCGTGCACTGCTGCAGCTGTCCCTTACTCGTTTGATGTTTTCCGTCCACCAGTATTTCGCTTTCCTGCCCTTTCTACTGCTGGCTGGCCTGAGCACCCGCCGACATGCCTCCTCAATCGCCTTCATCCAGGTGGTTGCGTCGCCTCCATCCCCCCTTGCGCGCTCCTTCTCCTTAACGATATCTGTGATGCCTTCCTTGTCCTCACCTCTGGCTCTCCAGCGCCGCTGCTCCGCCTTTGCCGCCGGCATCTGTCCCTCCCCAGCCACCACAATGTGTATATCTCTGTGGTCGCTGAGATTTTCCTCCTCCGACACGGTCCACCTCACTCCCTTGGCATGCAGTGCCGGTGAAACTGCCGTCACGTCTATGTATGACTCAGAGTTTCCCCTCGCAAACGTGGCGGTCGTGCCGTCGTTCACCACGACAAAGTCCACCGCTGCTAGGACATCCATGAGCTGCCTTCCCCTCTCGTCTTCCCGTGGTCCACCCCAGAGTGGAGATTTGGCATTAAAGTCTCCACATAGGATTACTTTGGCGGCTGCCGGTCTGCTTACCATGTTCTCCACCCTGCCCAAAAACGCATTGTACTCGTCCATTGCTACATTGGGCGACACATATCCTACTACTATGTATATGCTCCAGCTCTGGCCCTCAGCAATCCCTCCGCCCGCTTCAGTTCCGTCAGCCTGGTCTCCCCAAATGCAATCATGGCCACATCCCCATTAATGTCCAGGGCGGCACTGCTGTTCTCTGCTCTGGCTCTATTGGGTTCCGAGACTACGAGTACGTCCACTCTCCTTTGCTCCACCGTTTGAAGAGATAGATCCCAGGCCGCCCTGCTCCGGTTCTGGTTAGCCTGCATTACTGAAACTAGAACCTTGCTGTTCCCCCGCTCATCTCCGTCCATCTCTACTTGTTCATTGTAGCTGGATGCTGGGCGGGGGCCAGGGGAAAATCCTGCGTCTCCTCCACAGCCTCAGCTGTCCTCTCAACTGCCCCCATTGGTTGTCTTTCCTTCTTTGCCTCCTCTGTCCTTCTCTCTGCTCCTGCCGTTGTAGGGGTGACGCATTCGCTTGTCCTGTGCCCATCTCTGCCGCACCTCAGACACCTCTTGCTGTCCGTGCATGCCCTCGCCTTGTGGCCTGGCTTCCCACATCGGAAACAGCACGTTGACCTGTCCGGGCCCTTACACTCCGCTGCCCGATGACCACTCTCTTGGCATTTATAACATCTGTCGTCCTCCACGGTTTCCCTGATCCTGCATACCACCGGTCCCACTCTGATGCGCCCGATCTCCACCAGCCTGGATACTGCAGTCTTGCTGGCTGTGAAGCGCGCGGCCTGCGTTCTGCCATAGGTAGCTCTCATGGCGATCACCGTCAGCTCTGCCATTGTCGCATCCGCTCCCAAGGCTGCTTTCAGCGCCTCCCCTACCTCCTCCTTAGTGGCCAGTGCGTCCATGCCTACCACTTCCGCTCCTCCAGTGTCCCTGACAGCCCTAGCTTTCAAAGTTTGCAGTGTCACCACCAGTTTGGATGCTGTTTCCTCTCCATCTGTTTCCAGTATCACATTGCCCGCTCTAGACTCGCGAATATTCTTAATTCTGGCCTCCCCACCATCCTCTTTTGTGAGCTTTCTTACTTCTCTTAGCGTCTCTTCGTACCCCTTCTCCTTTGTGCTTATCGTTACCGTACCTGGCTTTGGTTTTCTCACCATGCGGCTTGGCTTCTCGCGTTCCTGTGCGCTCGCTGCGCTCACTGCGCCTTCTTTGCCCCTCGAACCTTTGACAGCCTCGCTCCAGGTGCTCTGTTTCCATTCGCCCATCAGCATGACCTCTAGTTTCACATGCCCAATCGCCTCTACTATTTCCTCCTCCAGTGCAACACCCTGCATCATCCTGATCGCCATCTTGGAGGTTCCCTCCCTTAGTAGCTTATCCGCAATCCCTTTAAAACAAGTTTGTCTCACCCGCCTGCACTCCATCGGCTCTCCTCCGCTTTCCTGCATGAGCAGCCATGTCGTTGTTGAGCTCTCCTTGACATTTTTCTCTCCCACACTGGATATAATCCTCCTCTTTACCGCTACCACCTGTCCAGGCTTCGGTATCTCCCCGTCAGGGTAGTCCCTTGCAAAGGCCTCCGCCGTGGTCCAAGTCAGTGTGGCTGTGCCCTCAGGAATCTTATGTTTCAGCGGGACACGCTGTATAACCAGTTTCCTCCCCCTCTCCGGTGGTCCAGCTGCCTCCGTCTGGGTTCCCTGATCCGCCATCTGCATTCTGGTCGCATTGATTGCATCCCTTTCCTCCGTTTGTGTTTCACCGTCGAACAACATTTTTGGTATCCCCTCGTATCTGTGTTTTTCGAGCCAGCTCTGAATTGACAGCCGGTTCATTAGCGCTACTTGATGTTCTAACTTTGGAACTATTTCCTTTATTTCCCGCTTTGTATTTTGTTCAACTTGTTTACATAAAGTTTTTGACAGCTTAGAAATAACCTCAATTGCTTCCATCAATACAAATGCTTCTGATGACTCTTTAGTGTTATATACTGGTTCCGTCTCCCTAAGTGAAGTGTCCATAACCTTCCTCTTCTTGTTCTTAGTGCTAGTGCTCGCGGTTTTGAAGGAAAAACTCCTAGCTATGGTTCCAAATGGTTTTGGAAACGCCGTGTCGGTTTTTTTGGGCACAGATTTTTGCATTTCCTCGTCCCACACAAGATCAATGCTCTCTACTGAGTCCCGCCTGCCTTCTACATACCTGGCAATACCTTTCCCTTGTCTTTTGGGCTGTTTCTCCGCCAGCGCTTTGCAGTTGTCGGTTAACGATCGGGAGGGGCCTGCTTCGTCGCCCCCTACGCCGACCGGTACTGGATCTTCGCCGTCCTGCACCGTAAACACTTCTTCAGCTTCCATACAAAGGTTCTATCGTATATTTCCACAAAATTCTCACAATTTTCGCAAAATACTGGATTAACCTCGAAATACACCAATGAAAACCCTGGCTGTAGCATATCATATCCCCCTTCCTCTGATTCCACCCCTAATGCACTGGAGAAGGCTTGCATTCTCCGAGCCATCCAATTGGGATAGCTCATGGAAGTCAGTGCCCTACCCAAAAAACAGGCGTGAAGACCGACCAAAGCATATACGTGGGACATTGTTAGATTGACCCCCACCTCCCTCTTCAGTATTGTCGATCTGTGGAGCTTTAAGGGCTTGTAAATCCGCACCAACTACCAATGCTTGTTTCAAGTCATTGTTCCCATTGGGAATCAGTATGGTACCCAACATGTCGTTAGTGATGTGCGTCTGAGCCCCGCCGTACATTTTCGCGATCATGAGTGCCGTCCTCACTATCGGAGAGGTGGTATCTGTGTCATATACTCCTTTGTAATTTTGTAGGGACTTCATCCCCTCCTGCTTCGCGATCGCTATAGCTATGTCGCTGAATATACTAAGATGCTTACGGTTGAACTCCGTGCACTCTTCCTCCGTGTATAAGAGTTTACAGTAAGGGGCCGACTTGCCTAACTTGACCCATTTGTCGAAAGCTGCGATGAGCTTGTCCGCATGCTTTGCCACCTCATTCCAAGCTAACAAAATTGGATTCTCACAGAGATTATATCTAAATATCAACATAAGCATTGACATTTCTGTTCCTGCTAAGGAGACCAGACTTGTCTTATAAGCGGTGGCTAGCAAGCGATTAGTGGAGGAACTCGCAGTATTCTCGATATCTTTGAACAAAACACGGCGAATCTTTCTTTTTGAAGAGAGCCAAGCATACGATGATGCACAGTATGAAAACCCTGGCTGTAGCATATCATATACCCCTTCGTCTGATTCCACCCCTAATGAACTGGAGAAGGCTTGCATTCTCCGAGCCATCCAATTGGGATAGCTCATGGAAGTCAGTGCCCTACCCAAAAAACAGGCGTGAAGACCGACCAAAGCATATACGTGGGACATTGTTAGATTGACCCCCACCTCCCTCTTCAGTATTGTCGATCTGTGGAGCTTTAAGGGCTTGTCAATCCGCACCAACTACCAATGCTTGTTTCAAGTAATTGTTCCCATTGGGAATCAGTATGGTACCCAACATGTCGTTAGTGATGTGCGTCTGAGCCCCGCCGTACATTTTCGCGATCATGAGTGCCGTCCTCACTATCGGAGAGGTGGTATCTGTGTCATATACTCCTTTGTAATTTTGTAGGGACTTCATCCCCTCTTGCTTCGCGATCGCTATAGCTATGTCGCTGAATATACTAAGATGCTTACGGTTGAACTCCGTGCACTCTTCCTCCGTGTATAAGAGTTTACAGTAAGGGGCCGACTTGCCTAACTTGACCCATTTGTCGAAATCTGCGATGAGCTTGTCCGCATGCTTTGCCACCTCATTCCAAGCTAACAAAATTGGATTCTTACAGAGAATATATCTAAATATCAACATAAACATTGACATTTCTGTTCCTGCTAAGTAGTCCAGACTTGTCTTATAAGCGGTGGCTAGCAAGCGATTAGTGGAGGAACTCGCAGTATTCTCGATATCTTTGAACAAAACACGGCGAATATCTCTTTTTGAAGAGAGTCAAGCATACGATGATGCACAGTATGAAAACCCTGGCTGTAGCATATCATATCCCCCTTTCTCTGATTCCACCCCTAATGCACTGGAGAAGGCTTGCATTCTCCGAGCCATCCAATTGGGATAGCTTATGGAAGTCAGTGCCCTACCCAAAAAACAGGCGTGAAGACCGACCAAAGCATATACGTGGGACATTGTTAGATTGACCCCCACTTCCCTCTTTAGTATTGTCGATCTGTGAAGCTTTAAGGGCTTGTAAATCCGCACCAACTACTAATGCTTGTTTCAAGTCATTGTTCCCATTGGGAATCAGTATGGTGCCCAACATGTCGTTAGTGATGTGCGTCTGAGCCCCGCCGTACATTTTCGCGATCATGAGTGCCGTCCCCACTATCGGAGAGGTGGTATCTGTGTCATATACTCCTTTGTAATTTTGTAGGGACTTCATCCCCTCTTGCTTCGCGATCGCTATAGCTATGTCGCTGAATATACTAAGATGCTTACGGTTGAACTCCGTGCACTCTTCCTCCGTGTATAAGAGTTTACAGTAAGGGGCCGACTTGCCTAACTTGACCCATTTGTCGAAAGCTGCGATGAGCTTGTCCGCATGCTTTGCCACCTCATTCCAAGCTAACAAAATTGGATTCTCACAGAGATTATATCTAAATATCAACATAAGCATTGACATTTCTGTTCCTGCTAAGGAGACCAGACTTGTCTTATAAGCGGTGGCTAGCAAGCGATTAGTGGAGGAACTCGCAGTATTCTCGATATCTTTGAACAAAACACGGCGAATCTTTCTTTTTGAAGAGAGCCAAGCATACGATGATGCACAGTATGAAAACCCTGGCTGTAGCATATCATATACCCCTTCGTCTGATTCCACCCCTAATGCACTGGAGAAGGCTTGCATTCTCCGAGCCATCCAATTGGGATAGCTCATGGAAGTCAGTGCCCTACCCAAAAAACAGGCGTGAAGACCGACCAAAGCATATACGTGGGACATTGTTAGATTGACATAAGGTTCTGCGTCATTCATGTTTACATCAGTAAATTGTCGACTGTCTTTTACCCATGCCACCATATCCACATCATCCTCGGGAGAGAACTGGAAACTTTCTAATATAGCACGAAGTTTTAGCACATTCTCTTTGTGCAACACCTTTTGCATACGAGTTTGGAGTTATTTCCTTACTTTTCTTTACTTGGAAACTCCAACATCATATCGGCTATGTACCTGAGAATGTCATCTAATTCATCTATTTCTTCTTATCTTCCAGATCTGTAAAATAATTATTTTAAGGTTTTGTTAAACAAAAATATATTTTTGTGGTATAAGTTCAATTTTTTCTTAAAAATATATTTAATCAGCAATCTTGGTTAAATCAATATAAAAACTAACGTACTTATTTCAATATTTTTCAAATTAATATTACACAATACTTACTTAAATTTAGCAATTTTATCTTTTTTCTTAAATTTTTCAACCAATTTTTTTATTCTTTCTCTTAATGTCCTAATACTGACGGACTTTCCGCTAATTTGCATTATGTTTATTTGGATAAGATGCCATCGCCCAGGATCCTCGAAGGGCTTTTGTCCCACGACCTCTCTAGCAAGATGCAAATCATCTTCGGGAGAGAAATGTATCCGTTTCGCAACACTTTTTAAGTTTAAATTCATATTTTAACGCAAGGATTTTGTGTAAAATCCTTGATTTTAATGGTGTCGACACAAATCATTCAAAGAAAAAAGTAGGGTTAGGATCATTTCAAACGACTCGTTTGATATCGAAAAAATATTCGTGATGCTTTCGGCTCAATACGTTCAAAAATCTGTTGCGTTCTCCTGCAACATACGATAACGCTACGTTACGTTCAACGTATCTCAATGCGTATTTTGTTGTAAATCTGCGCATGCTTAGCTGTCAATCTCTGCGTTTACGTATACGTTCTTGACATTGCTTTAACTTTCTATTTACTACGCGAACGGAACAAACTGGAACTGGCTGCTCGCGCTCGCTGCACTGCCCGCGCACATTACCCCGGCAACGGATCCGTCCGCTATTTCACTCGTAGCTAGAGACAAATTTATATTGATAATATCAATATTTTTTCCATTCACCAAGCTCAATCAAATAACAGAACTTTATTTTATAATAGCATACTTGACCGAATTCAAGTATGAGCCACATCGATATTCCAGTTTTTTTATGAGCATATTCTTAATCCCGATTACATCATGATGTAGGTTGTTGTTGTTTATTTTTCGGAGTTCGTTAAAAATAGAAGTAATCATCGGAATGATTTTTGATGATGATACAAAATCTTCTGCGGACATTTCAGTCGTTGCCAAGTCAAATATTTTAAGCACATTTATGACACATAATTAGCGTGGAGTTCCATCGCGTGTTCACTTCTTTTTTTAGAGTATTTGGGGTTTTAACTTCTACAATAAATTTAAAAAATATATATATACAGCCCATTCAGAGTAAAACCGAATATAGGGAAACCTTTTGGGCGTGGCCTCGACTCCCTCCAACGCGCGTCACAGTAGCTTGTGTGATAATCGACAAGACGAAAGGTCGAGCAGGTAAGACAATCTTAAAAATTAAATGATAATAATGCAAAAAATCTCATTAGCGATGCAGGTTATTTGCTTAGCTACTGTGTCGCGCGTTGGAGGGAGGCGAGGCCACGCCCAAAACGTTTTCCTATACTCGGTTTTACTCTGAACGGGCTGTATACAGTGCTTGCAAATCCAAGTCCGACCGGTTTGGGAAGAACGCGTGAAAATAACAAGGATAGAACGCCAAACAGAAGGCGCTTACAATACGCACGCCTGACGCTCTGACCAATCAAATTCTGTTTGGCATTCTATCCTTATTCTTTTCACGCGGGTATTGAACAACCATCATTCCCAACGCGGTCGGACTTGGATTTGCAAGCACTGTATATATATATATATATATATATATTGTAACCTTCCCCCCTTTTCTGGAGGCTACCTCCCTGTCACCCGACAGAATATCCGCTCACAGCTAAGTCCCAGTGAAGATGGGCTGGGTCCAATTATTATTGAAAATATTTGCAAAGGGCGCCAAGTATTTTAGACATTTATGTAAAGACCTCTAGGGAGAAAATACTAAACCCTAGGGTAGGTAGGGTGCGATACAGTAATCCAGATAATAGGTTGTTTTTTTTTAGAGTAAAGAAAAAATAGGTCTCCGTGTATATCCCTTTAATTACCCTAATGAAGGTTTTAGCAAAACAAAATTGATTTTTCTGGTTAAGGTATAAATCAGTACAAACACGTACCCAAACAACATTTACAAATAATTTTTACCAACTACCGCAGTGATCACCTTGGCTCACAAATAATATATATGCATATCTATCAATCCATCACGTCAAAACTTAACAAAAAAAATGGTGCTGAGGGCACAAACCCACAAATATACTCCTTATAAATGGACGCTGAGGGCAGCCAACGCAATGTTTTCAACAAGTCAGGTCAGTCTCAGAATATTGTTACGCCCCAACCAAAATAATATTTTAAATTAGAAAATAACTTATTATAAACCCCTTTATTAGGGTACAAGTACGTGAAACCGGGGTTTGTTACGATATCTTGAGACAATAACCCAAAAATAATGGTAATTAAATGGTTATGAGCAATTGCAAGTAATAAGGAAACTGTTCGACTTATCCGCTCTCCCCCGTAGGTTGTTTAATCCGATCCTGGTAATTTCATTAAAATTAGTTTGGCTCCTATGGGTGGGGATGTGAGGTCATCAAGGGGATAACGTCACAAGTCGGTAAGGCTCAAGCAACTTCCGGCTGAAGAAATCCAGCAGCACGTCCCTCTGCCCGTGGACATCAAACTTAAGCTTTGAAAAGCCAGGTTTGGCGATCCTAGCACACAAAACACACAAAAAATCCAAACGTGGAACAAACTCCAACAATACATCCAGGCTTCAACTAGGGTTAAAACCCAGGGTAAACCATAAACAAAGGAAGAACCCTAAAATAACACAACGGTATGACCAACCTGGCGGTTTTAAACCCACCCTTTACTTACGCCTGGTCGAAGGATTAAACTCAACTGGTTAGACAACTTCCCAAAATAATCACTTCGACGGTGAAAAGTGCGGTTCAAATGTAGCGTCGATAATCAATCCTAGGGAAAATAATTACTAGTATACAAAAAAAAATCCACGTAATGTAGCTTACCACATGTGCCAATAATCCGGACAAACCGAGGGATTTATAAGGCTCCACAATGACCCAATATAGTCTTCAAACTAGCCACTTAAAATCCTAAATAGGTTCTTCAAAGAATAATCCCACATTCACTTGCGGATGGTCGAAATAATCGCCAAATCTTCGAGAAAACCTCTAGACACATGCAGTAGCGTCAAACATCGACAGCAAAAATGGCCTTCTTCCGGAAAATCACGGAAGCACCATCCACGACCAATAAAACAACCGGGAACACCCGCCAAACTTTGAATCTAGTGACCAAAATGTCAGTTGGTACCTGACCAAGACACCAGTTGGTAGGACCGCGATTTTGACATGACATATGACAATATCATGGCGGCGTTGATAAACAAATGAAATTCTGCCACAAATTAAAGTAAGTACGCTTAAATGCGGTAATACAACGTATGGAAAACATGCACAGAACCTTGTTTTATATTTTAGAGACTGCGACCGCCTCGCTACCCAGCTAAAATAGGTTAAAATCGCCACTGACAAACCACAACAACCAAGGTGTAAAATACAAACACAACAAATACCACCGTGGGACACCTTTCCCTTTGGAGAAGGTCAACAATAATCCACAATTTGAAAGATGATGGCAGGGAGGAGTGCGGGAATTCTCAAAACGACTTTAGGTAGGAAAAATGTGTATCGTCCTGATCAAATTAGATTATTCAGGTAGAACTATACCAACATACATTTATTAACTAAATCTACTGAACCCTATTTTAAGGTCATAAAATATCCCCCCAGGCCCTCCATGGCCAACAGATAGATACCCCTTAAAACACGGAGGCTCCAAACAATAGAAAGAATTCGACGAAAAACCAGTTGCCCCCTTTTCCCCCCGTTACAATATATATTAGGGGGTCCTTATTTACATATAAAAAATAAAAAATAACTTAATTTTTGACAGGACCCCCTATTTTTGTTCAATTATACAAAAAAACAAATCGTACAAAATTATAGCCCTCTAAGATAACGTTAACCCGTGCCCCATTTACTTAAAATTTTAGGATATTTTGCTTCGTTTAATACTTGATATTCTGATTTCTTTGAAGACCATAAATAACACTTTTATGCATATTATTAATGCCATTTATTAATTTAAATGTTATACATTGTTTATTATTGTATTTGAGGCCTTGAGAACCAGAGTGGTCTATGTCATTATTTTTTAAATCTAATCTATCTAATTATAATTATTATTATCATTAATTTTTTTTTTAATTTTTGTTATATAATTATATGAAAAATTTTTTAAAAAAATGACTTAGAACACTCTGGTTATCAAAGGCTCATATGTTTGTTTATAATATACTACGTTACAGTTGTCAAGTATGCACTACTATATGCTTTTTGTGTTTTACGGACTACGAGTATGGTTTACTTAGGGCTTCTCGAGTATGTTTTGGGTACCTCCTCCGATAATCTTGTACCGTCTAAAAAAAAAGATACATTTAAGTTGCATATTAAAGTAATTGTTTACGGTTACACCTGTAAAACAAATTGTTTTTGAGAATCGTCCTTTGTAAATTTGTCATTGAATTCTTCCATTAGTTTTACACCTCGCTCCGCGGTATCATTTACCACTCTTAGGGATTTCAGTATCTTCCTTCCATTTATGTAACTTTCTTGATCTCTCCAATACACAGGATCTAGCTGAAGAAAGTCTTGGGAAATTCCAAATCTATCAAATATTTTTTTTGATTTATTTGTAATTAATTGTAAAGGAAGATCTTTGTCAAGGAAGTATTCTAAGGGGTCTATTCTGTAACTTTTTAGTTATAAATAACCCTGGGTTATATCACATCGACTGGTTAAAATCTTTAGAGCGATTCTGTAACTTCGTATTTGGTTTAAAATTTAACCCGATGCCGATATAACGCTGGTTATTAAGAAATGTATATCGTGAGGTATATTAGTAGGCGATAAAAATAACTTTTGAGTTATAATTTTGATTTAAATAAACGCTGTGGCTCCCGTCCCGAGGCGGGACTTAAGTTCAGTCCCGATTGACGTCATAATTTTAAGATTTGTTATGTTATAATAAAATAATAATAATAATAAATTGTACCTGTATACATGTTAAGGGCACTTTAGTTACGTCATAAAACCAAACCAACCCAAACTCAACAACACAACCCAACCGACCCCGCCCCATTGGGCCCCCCCCCCGCCCCATTGAGCAAAAAACCCAACTAAAATGGGCATATTTATGTTACGATAAAAATAAAACACTTTTTAACAAAAAAACAACAAATTTATAAAATAAAAAAAATAAAAAAAGTTTGACAGTTGTCAAACTTTTTTTATTTTTTAGTGGGATCGAACCCGGTACCTCTCGCATGCCAAGCGACCGCCCTACCATCTAAGCCATCGAGCTTGACACAAATTATAAAATCTCGGGGAATAAAA